AGGTATCAAAACCCCAAAACCCCAAAACCCCATCAAGTGAAATTAGTAAGAAAATCGGAAATGAAATTATTTGGAAATTAAATAATAAAATTAAGGCAATGAGCAACATCATGATCAAACCAAAAAAGTTTCACTGGGCTTCTCCTGAAGTATTTGAACAACAAAGAAACACAGCTCTATAGCTTCATAGAATAACTAACATACTTTAATCCGATAAATCTGACTAATATGTCAACCATCGTAAGATAAAGCTGAAATTAATGTAATTTAGACTATGAGGATTATTTAAAATCAAAATAATGTCGAATGAAAAAAGACTAGCTTAAAAAAATTGATGTTATGGAGGAGAATTTTGTAACTTATCAATTAAATAATCACCTTTGTAGAAACTACTGTAGAGAATACACAGTTAGAAACCCTCTGTTGACTTTCAAAAGCTTGAGAAGTAAAGAAAGGAGCAAGAAAAAATTATAGCATGTATTTCTGATCACCCACATATATTTAAAGTAAAAGGAAATATGCCAAGTGCAAATAGAAATAAGCCGATTGTAAATTATATAATCATTCAATTTTGATAGGAGTTCAGAATAATTAGAGAAGAAAGAATGATTACTTAAGATAGTCCTGAGGGCTTGCCTAAAATATAATCACAGAGACAAATTTTAGATTAATCAGCCAAAAATCTCTATGAGATCCTAACTCCTCAAAATCGCTAAAATTTAATGAACAGAGCAATCTCTCAATAAACTATTTAAACTAACTTAGATAGGTCTATGGATAAATCTTAGTTGTCAATTAAATCAAAGAGTTAGTTTTAATTCACTATCAATAATTTACAAATATAGAATATAAAATAGCACCTCTTTAATTTAAAGATGAGCCAGATCTCTAACCTGATAGAAAAGTCAGATTTTAAGAGGTCATGCCTTTAAATGATATGAAGGAGTACACTGTAGAGATATCATTTACCAAATCAAAACTTCTGATAATCGTTGCTAGAAGAATCCATCATTATAAATTAGAGTTTCCAATTGTCCAGGGGAAAAAAATCCTAACTTCACTTAATCTTTCTTTCAAAGCTTTAGCCTCATTGCTGAAACTATCCTCATCTAAAACACTATACATTGAAAATCTATAAAAAATTCTTTATCCTAGGGGTGATAGTCTGAATCTGATTAATAAAGAGTTTAACGATACTTCATTTGATAGCAGAAGATAGAAATATTTGGAATCAAAGCTACTTACTTCAGAAAATTCTCCAAAAAATATGAAATCAACTCTGGATCACTCGGAAGTAAAAAATCACAAAACCCCTTTAAGCTATTCACCATCAACAGAAGAAATTTTCTAGCTTGCAAGATTAAAATAGGATAATTTTATCTTTCATTCCAAGAAAATCAGTCACACTAGTATGAACAAAAATTTCAATGATAATGAAAAAACCAAAACTGAAATGGGCAGGATCCTAAATTAAGATCTTATGGAAGGAATACATATCAAGGATCAAAGCTTTATAGAGACACCTACTTATAGGACTAGTCTGCTAGAGGACGTTATTGAAAATGAGCCTTATAAACCTTCATTAATGGATTAATGAAGTATTATTGGTCAGATTGAATATTTTAACTTTTTAATAGTAAGCAAGTTATTATAATTAAATAATAAATTAAAGATATGTCTATCTCACCATTACATGGAGGTCTAGTCTTCTAAGAAGACTTAAACAGCAAAAAGCCACAATATCAACAGTAAGTTCAGGAAGAAGTCAAGCAACAAAATACTTAATCTTCTCAGGCTGGACTTGATCTCAACCAAAGAGACATTAATGAATTCTTCAATCCACGCCCAAGTGAACTCTCTCTTGATGAAAAAGTAAAGCTAGTCTTGGAAGTAGGAGAAGAAGTAATTATGGCTGAGGAAATCTCATCACTTCTCTCTAGGAAGCAATTCTGGAACTGCTATGATGGATTTGAGCCATCTGGTAGAATGCACATTGCTCAAGGTATTATGAAGTCAATCAATGTCAATAAGATCACCAAGGCTGGTGGAGTCTTCATTTTCTGGGTTGCCGATTGGTTCGCTCTACTAAATAACAAGATGGGAGGTGATTTGGAAAAGATTCAAGTAGTTGGCAGATATTTCGTTGAAGTATGGAGAGCTGCAGGAATGAATCTTGCTAATGTAAAGTTCCTTTGGGCTTCAGAGGAAATTAATAAGAGACCAGAAGAGTATTGGCAAACTGTTATCGACATCTCAAGAAAGGCTAGTATCAGTCGTATAAAGAGATGTGCAACTATTATGGGTAGATCAGAGGGTGATGATATGCCAGCTGCTTAAATTCTCTATCCCTGTATGCAATGTGCTGATATTTTCTTCCTTAAAGCTGATGTTTGCTAACTTGGTATGGATCAAAGAAAAGTCAATATGCTCGCCAGAGAATACTGCGATAGCATCTAAAAGCAGGACAAGCCAATCATCGTATCTCATCATATGATGATGGGTCTCAAGGAGGGACAAGCCAAGATGTCAAAGAGTGATCCAGATTCTGCTATTTTTATGGAAGATACCGTAGAGGATGTCAACAGAAAGATCAAGAAGGCTTTCTGCCCAGAGAAATAAATTAAAGATAATCCAATTATCGACTATCTTAGATATATAGTATTCGAGAAATTCAACCCAGTAGTCATCAAGAGAGATGCCATAAACGGTGGTGATCTATTCTATTAGAAGTTCTCTGAACTTGAAGCTGATTATGCTGAGGGTAAAATCCATCCAAAAGATCTCAAGAGCAATGTTGCATCATACATAAATCAATTACTGCAACCAGTAAGAGATCATTTCGAAAAGGATCCATATGCCAAGAAGTTGCTAGAAACTATCAAGAAATGGCAAGAAGAAATGGCTAAGAAGGGAATCGCTACTAAATGATTAAGCTCTATTTAATTTCTTAATCAAATTTAGCTAATCTCTTTTTCATACAATTTGTATTCTGTGGGGTTTTGGGGTTTTGGGGTTTTGGGGTTTTGGGGTTTGGGGGTTTTGGGG